CAACTATAGATATCACTAAATCAAACCGCAGAACAATATATTGTGATACCGTGTGGTCATGCATGGGTGTGCAGCACATGTATCAGACAGTTGGAAGTTCCAAATACAGTTTTCCCCATGTGCCTTACTAGAAATATTTCATTTCAAAGAATATATTTTACTTATTAATTATAAATTATGATAAACAAAACGTTTTATAAATATATATATTTATAAATTAATACCAACCTTTATTTTATTTCCATGCTGTTTACCCGTTTAATAGATTTGATGTATTTTACTAGCCATTTTTTTTTTATAAAAATACTCTATAACTGTCATAATTCAACCAGAAATTAATACAAATAATTAACATAATTAGCAATTTAAAATATTCAGAATAGTTAAGTTTTATTTTGTAGTACAATAATGTAAAAGATAGGTATTTTATGTTATATGCTTACCTCATATTCATAAATTCAGAATATAACAATGTATACCTACTTAACATAGTTTATGACACTTCATATAGGTAATTATAGGGCTCGGAAGTTGAGGCATTTTGCATTTTTTTTTGGAACTTTTAAGACGATGCTCTCCTGGCCATAAATGCGTTTCATTAGCATGTGAATCTGAAAAACTAAATTTTATTTTGCATTTTTAGGTCATTTTCGGACATTTTTAGTCATTTTTACTGATTTCAAAATTGTTATTAAAATTAAATCAGCAGCAGTTAATAGAATTGGAAATTAAATTAAAAACAAATTTAAGGCTGGTACGTGTCAAAAATACTGGATTTCAAACGATGTCAACAATTTCGAAATTTCTAAATGGTGAAGAAGCTTCAAGAGAGTGTTTTCCGGATGATTTCAGTGCTGATGATTTGGCAAATTTCAGATTTGCCCCAATCACTTCAGTGGGGAGAAGTTTTTAAAAATATAAATATTTATTAACAGATCGTCGTTCATTTACTTTTGATAACATCAAAAACGCTCTAATTATACAATGCAATGATTTTTGAGTAATTTGTACGGTTTGATAAATTTATAGAACAAATATTTTTTATTTAAGTTTTAAGGACATTATTTGTCATTTTTATGTCATATTTTGAGAAATTTGTAAGCTTTAATAAATGTATATAGAATTATATAGTAAAATAGAGTAAAATATTTAAAAAAAATGTATTTTTATAAATTCAAAACAAATATTTGTAATTTTTTTAGGTCATTTTTAAAGACATTTTTCGTCATTTTTATGTCATATTTACATTTTTTTAGGTCATTTTTTGATATTTTTAAGGTGCTTCCGAGCCCTAGTAATTAATCTATTTACCTAATTTTATTTTTAGCTTTTAGTATGAAACTCTGATAGCTCAACAGATATTGTATAAACAAATACATTGTAAATTGTAAAAACCAATATTACAAAATCTATGAAGGTACTTACTTGGCAGTACCTAAAGAAATACAATAACTAATAGAAACACACATTGAATACAATTTTGTTCACGAGTCAGGACTGATGAATAATGATCCAATATGAAATAAATAAATTCGAATTACAACTAATAACATTATTAAAATGTACCTATACCATACCTACCGGCTACCTATAATATAATATATTATATTATAATAAAAAATTATCGAAAAATGTATAATATAAAAATACTAGCTCTTGGCGGGATACACTACGCGGGGTCGGCTTGCTTACCATTCCCTGCTTCACGTCAAGATTTATAGATAATGCATTATCTATCAACTCTCATTTATTATCTATAAACTTTTTTTATCATCTATGGCCTTAACGCCCAACTTACAACATCAACAATTATATCAAAAAGATAAAACTAAAATATCATAGACCTATAGACTTAAGTCTTTAAATAGGCCTATGTAAAATATAGGTACTGTAGCAGTTAGGTATATTTGATAAACATACTCATACAGGGCAATACAGTTCTCCTACACATTGATAAGAAACTACTAGGAGGAAATTAAAATTTTAGATAATACCAACTGTCTTTTTTCAGAAAATTGATATCAAGGAATTTAGTAATATAGAACTACACCCACTGTACTTATAATACAAGTTACAACAATTAAAATAGCAAATACCAAATAATAATTTCTATTTAGAAGATTTAACTTTTTATTTTTGTATTGAGTTTCTAAAATCAACAAGTTATATCGCATTATGGACCCCAATTACGCGGTTAATGAAGTTGAAGCAGACGGTAATAAATATTTTTTCAGTTAAGATAGTAAAACTAAATTATTATTATTTATTTATTTTGAAAAATACAGTCTGTAAATAAAGTTTACATTAGACAATATAAGACAAAAAATAATGTTTATACCCTTTCAAAAGCTAAAGGTAACATTTTTGCATAATTGTGTCCCCTTATTAATTGGAATTTGTTGTCCAACTGTCGTATTATAGATTTGAAGGTATTTAAATTTAGGCATTCTGGTTTTATAATAAATGTATTATTACAGGCTGTTTTCGATACTGCCGGAGAACCTTAAATAGTGTTTTTCACTTGTTTCAAAATAGTCCAGAAGCCAATCGAGTATGTAGAATGGTAATGTAAATATGTAATAAGTAGAGTTCGGGTTTACTTAAATATTGTTTACAACCATTACTGTGGACAACTGTCAAATATTCTCCAACACTTAAAATTATACTTTTTTTTGACATAATTACCTTGATAATATTTTTTGTATCATAAGACATGCATTTCTTTGTAATTTTTAATATTAATATAAATATTGTAATATATTTGGTTTTATTAGTTGAATTGATTTTTATTCGATACCGATCGTTTTTAAGGAGCTGAGTATAGGCAATTTTAAGGCTATTTCCATAGTGCGTGCGTGCGTGGCGTGTATTTGTGTTTGTAGTAAACGATCATTATTGTTAGTGCCCCCCGCCCGCCAACAGACAACTACAGCCCGCGACATTATGATATTTCTTATCTTCGATTATGACGGCGTCCCGTAATTACACTACCTGTATAAAAATATAATAAATATACATAGTACATGTACATCAATTATTATAGATACTAGATAGTAAATCATTCGCTGCCTGACGTAATTTTACATTTTTATTTTTTACCCAACGAATATTGATCGCAGGCATTTTTGTAATTAAATATAAAGATAGGTAAAATAAGTATATAACTATTGTAACTTGTAAGTTATTAATAATACAATAATAACAATCGTTTATTTCAAATAATAAAGTAGTTTTTATGATTATTTTATTCGCTTTTTAGACTTAATTTTTTTCGTTTATATTTTTATGTAATTACCTATTACCTACCTGTATACTACCTAAATTGTATTTGTTTGAGAGTCAAAAAAACACTCATCACTGCAAAAACGTTTTTATTTTACTCAATTTATTGTACGTGTTATACATTATTATAATAGGTATCTAATTATAATATTATAAGCCTGTTCTAAGTGGAAGTCCTCGGTCAAGTCGCGAATCAATTATCTCCGGAAGTATGCATTCCATGTAAAACTTCTTCAACTTTGGTTCTATATCCATCCAGAACTTGTCATCCCTTTCAATTTTCTCTACTATAAGTCCTATTAATTGGTATAGGTGTTATTATTATAATTTTATATAACAAATGGCATACATTTTATATAACAAATGGCAACAAAATTGTATACATTTTCTTGTAGGTAACTTATAAATTTAAGCTTCATTTATAATAATTTTTACCTTTAGGTGTCCATATACAAAAATAACAAAACTTCCTATTAGTTATATGTAGTTGTCCCTGAATTTGATAGAAGTATGCATGTGATGTTTTCAGCTGTAAATTTCCATCATTGTACGTCATACATTTTAATTTTTTTTCATGAAAGGCCTCTTCCGGCGTATAATCTTTTATGGAAGATGGACATTTAATTTCAACAATAGAATCATAACTTATCAAATCATCTGGACTAGCAGCCAAAAAAGGCAAATAATTATCAACAAAAAGCCCACAGGGTAATATTGCTGTCCTAGGCTTTGACCCCAAATTATATTTTGCCAAAGGTTCATTCTGAATTCCATATCTAAAAACATTATTATTATGACTGAGAAAGTGATATAAGTAACCATCGGATATAATAAATATTTTATACATAATATAAAGAATAAAGAAAAAAATGGGTGAGATAGTATAATGCATAATTGACCTACTTTGTTGCAGCATTACCACGAAATAAGTCGTATAAAATAAATTTGACTGTATTTTCGCGACAAGTGGTTGACCTCAATCTGGCAACTTTTCCAAAGTTTGAAGCTGTGATTCCCATTTTTCTTTGCCTTCGCCATTCATCGCTTTGGGATTGATTAATAGTACTTCTTTCCATTAATTGTATTTCTTCATGTGTGAGTTTTAATTTTTTTAGAAACTCGGATTTTTAATTCCATACTTTTCAATTGGCATATCAACTATTTCAGAAGGCTGTTCTACTGCTCCATAGTCTTCATCAGGTCTGTGTGGAAATATATTCTTTTTAATTTTATATCTTGAAAAAAATATTAAAAAAATATAAACATTTATACAAATTACAATAGACAATATTAATTATAGTTATAGTTATATAAACACAAAATGTAATAGATATGCACCCAGGTTGATTTAATTTTCTTCGTTTAATATCATTTTTCTTTTTTTGTATCCTCTTAATATATTTTTTCGTGAACAATCCTGGACTATGAAAAGTAGCTTTCCTATAGAAATGGCTAATATACGAAGGGCTGAGGTTGAACGCATTGACAGCCGTATCGCAACGGCTTGGTAAGAGCCTATATTTAATATATAGTAATAACTAATAATATTAAGTATACATTTAAGTTTATATTTTTTTAAACCTATTATTATTTTTAACACTTGCCCCTAAAAGAATAATTAATACGTTTACCACCGATGTATTTAGCAACAACGCTATTATAACTTTCCACGCAGTTGTTGTTTACAGAATGAATGAGACTATCAGAATGATGTGCAACTAAATTTCTTGCTCCCAAAATAAAATATCTTGCCAAAGTCCACAATTTTCCATTTCGGAAATTATATTTCTTTCCCCGGGTTTAGGTCCATCACAAAAATAACTAAAAATAAACATTAATTATTATAATAAAGTTTGTCTATAACGTTTTTTTATGTTTAAATAAGCCCATTACGAAAAACCCACTTAGCACACTTGTCATGAGAACCAAAAACATGATAAGGCCTATTTTTTATATCCTCCCTTAATAAAGTGATCTTGTAATTTAAAGGGTCGTCTAATTTCGATCTATATTTAATTGCGTATGTAATTCCGGACCTGTAATATAATTTATATTGTGAATACAAAATAAAGACAAGACTAGTAAATAAATACAAGACTGGGAAAAGCAGCATATTATTCTATTTTTTTTCAATGATTAAAAAAAATTACCTCAGTTTTAAACGTCGTTCCTTTAACATTTTTCGTAGCTCACCAGGGACGACAACGCCGCTTGAACTTTTTCTCCTTGATGCTATATCCACTATGCGATTTAAATAGTTTCTCAAAATTTGGTTAGTACACTCAATTTTTTGTACTTCCGTATCAAATCCATACGGTTTTGACAACATAATGTTTTTTAGTACACTAGAGTCTCCATCTCCTATGAGTTTATGATAAATTATATTATGTGTGGGAATGCTTTGTCGAAAACCTTGACTCCATAGAAGTGCTAGTGTTGTTCCAGTTTTTATAGCGAATATGATTTGGAGGATCTTTGTTTATTGCCTTAGCTTTCATACATACCGAACAGTATTTGTTCCGTACTCCAATAAATAATACTTTTTTTGTTCTATAACCAACAAAGCCTAAAAATTAGTAAATATTAAAATATTAAAATTATAGTCTTGCCCGCCTTTTTAAATATTTTATAAAATGATAAAAATAAAAACTTAAAACTCCAGATAATGCATTGTAGTTATGTTTATAGGATCTTTTTGACCACGCGCCATCAGCGACGACAGTTATCAAGGGTATACCATTACTATTTACTTCACCATTTTCAATAGCTAATTGCGCTTCTTCTTTGCCAGCCTCTTCAATCGATTCCCATGTAGTTAATTGTGTTTAATTTGCCACGAATTCATGTTCTTTCTGATATGTGTTATTAGACATACAAGGCATATCTAAAATGGCTGAAAATTGATCCAATTGGGAATGCCCTTGCCCTGTATTTAACATGGCAGTGACAGCTGCAGCATTTACCGTTAATTTGTCTTTTAAGATTGGAGGTTCAGAATAAATAATTTCTTTTTTACGACACATAGAACAATCAAAATAAATTTCAGAAAAAAATCCTTTACGAATTTCATGAGAAAATATTAAATTTTTAAATGAACAATTAAACGGTGTATGACATACTGATGAAATTGATTTAAAAATATAACTAATGTCAACTATTCTTCGGCCATTTAATACATCATGTTCAACTCTAAAAACAATTTTAAATTCAAAATACTTATTTAATAATACAAATACCGGCTAACGTTTTTATATGTATAGGTATACTAAATAATGTTTAGCTATTCAAGACAATGTCATAGCACTATTTATTTTTTCTCTATGACCCACGCGCAACATATCAAATTTTACTTTCACAATAATGATTATAAATTAGAATTTAAATAATCATAATAACTTCCTAAGTTAGAGTGAAATTACCTCTTAAAAAATTTGAAGATAATATTATTATCTAGCTAGGGCATAGCATAGCTTTTTATTATATTTTGATTTTATAAAATACTCATAACTCACTTTAAAATTAAAATATAATAAAAATCCTATGAAATGCCCTAGATAATAATATCTTATATTCTTATCTTTAAATTGTATAAAAGGACATTTCACTCTAATTAAAAAAATTCTTACGATTTTATTCATTACCTATTGTGAACTATTTGCTATGTTGCGAGTGGGTCAGACAGAGATAAAACAAAAATACTGTGCATTGCTTAGTATAATAAATTTCTTACCTTGAGGTTTTCTGAGATCATGGTATTTAGGGTAAATGTTGGTTCGAATATATTTGTTGAAGTTTCTGGTGACAATGGATAAAAGTCTTGTATCATACTAATGATGATCATTAACCCTTAAATAACCATAACGGCGTTATTAGGGATCAAAATAACTATAAAATAAATATTAGAAAAATACAGAAAAAAATCTGTTTTTTCTAAATTATACAATGTTCAATACAATATGAACTGCAATAATGCTTTTAAAACAAAAAAAAATGTGTCTATGTGTCTTTGATATTTTTTTATTGGCATAGGACAACGATAGTTTGGTTAGGTTTGCAATCCGTTGCAGGCAAACAATTTAAATACTTATCAGATATTATATTTTTAATCATAAATAAGTAATAAAACCAATTTTTAATTTTGAGCGGAGCGAAATCTAAAAAATATACAAACATAATATAAAATGTCTTATACTGACATACCGTCCCCGCTCAGAATATACACATTTGAGTTATAAAAAAAACCTAGAAAGTCTTTATGATTTATTAAATAGTCTAGAAGAAAAAAACAACAAAATGGCATATGGTTTAGATAAAGAAAAACAAGACCAAATTTTGAATGAAATGGATGAACTAATGTTTGATATGCGTGTCCATAGTTCAAAACATGGTAGAAAATGTTTGATGCCATTTCAAAAAGGCATACTTTTAACTAATAAATCACTAAGGAATTTATTTTCTTATGTCAATGAAATGTATGATGTAAAATATATTACAACAAGGGTGCTGAACCAGGGGCGGATCTAGGGGAGGGTTCAGGTCAGCTGACCCACAGTTAATATTTTCTGATCAAATTGGCCTCTTTTCAGATCTTGAGTACCTAGTTGGACACTTAAATAAACACACATATAGTATAAATGAATTTTAGATTCTGAGTGGAACGATGAATGTATTGATTTTACAATGTGTGTTTTTTTTTAAATTTTTTTGATTTATTTTTGTGCCTGTGTACACGATAGGTAGTCGAAATAATGCTTCGATTTTCAACTTCAGTATCTTGTTCGATTGGAAAGTGAATCTAGTTGGTGCATTCGGGAGGTAAAATTTTAAAATTCCCAATAGTTTTCACAAGCGCCGGGATTAAACACATAAAAAATAAGGAATAACGGAAATTTTTACTCAAAATCTGTTTTCCAAAAATCGATTTTGGTTTTTGGTGTAACTCTAAAACAAATGAACGTAAATACATGAAATTTTCACTGAATTTTCACTATATTTGCATTTTCTATACACGATAACATTTTTAAAATATTATGATTTGTTTTGAACTGTTTAAGGACATTTTCATTTTCCATTTTTTTTTTTAGTTTTTATTCTAAAAATATCAATAAAATTTTATTTGTTAGCTTAGAAAGCTTGAAAATGTATTATAAGGCTCCTAGTATATTGTTTAAAGGCAGATGAAAAATATTAAAAATCCTTAGTCACAGTTTTTTTTTTTATAAGCATCCAAAGTTCAAAAATTGACAAAATATGGAAAAATCACGAAATATAGAAAATTATTTTGAGTTAAGAATTCGTAAAAGTTTTTCTTTTTAAATCTAAGATTTGAAAATGTAATACAAGATTACTCATAAGTTTGTCTACCTTTATCAATAAAAAAATCTCTACCGGAAAGTTAAATTAAATTTTTATGAGCGTTTGAAATTCAAATTTTTACAACATTGGATATTCACTCGATTTCTCATGTAGCGATTTCCTTATTTTGTTGTAATTCAAAAACAAATAACTGTAGATAAATGAAAATTTCACTGAATGTTCATATTAGCATTTCCTATACAATGTACAATTTTGAAAATAATTGTTTTTTTTATACAATGATATTATATATAATTATAAATTCAAATTTAATACCATCCATTACAGCGACCCCCACTTGTAAGTTATAACCTAATGTACAGCAGGTTAGGTATACAGCAAAAATATTTTGACTCTTTTTGAGCTTTTCAGTTTTCAATTTTTTTAGTTTTTTTTTCTATAAATATCAATAAAGTTTTATCTGTTATGCCAAAAAGTGTAAAAATTTAATATAAGGCTCCTGATATATTGTTACAATATCAGTTGAAAAATATTAAAAATACATAGGCACAATTTTTTTTATAAGCATTTAAAGATCGAATTTTGACAAAATTTATCAAATTTAAAATTGAATAATTATTTTGTAGTTAAAAATGTATAAAATGTTCAACTTTTATATCTAAGGATTGAAAATTTAAAACATGATTTCACCATTGTAGTTAATTCTGTTACCAAAAAATCTAAAAAATACATAAGCACAGTTTATATTTATAGTCATTTTAAGTTCAACTTTGGATAAAATTACATAAAAAAAAACCTAGAATAACTATTTTAGTTATTTTTTTGTGATTGTGTAATATTATTCGTGGGTACTTGAAACATCTAAAGTACACTATTATATACCTATGGAGTATGGACTATGATAGTATCAGGGTTTGTTGTTGACGTATAATGCATTATAAGTACCTAATGGATATTGGGATATGATTAATTTGGAATTTATTATAGGTAAATTTTTTTTAATACGATAGATAAGAAAATAATATGGCTTATACCTAGACTGACATACCGTCTCCGCTCAGAATCGTTTTTCTTATATAATGATATTATATCATTGAATTCAAATTTCATACTATCCATTATACAGTGACCCACTTGTAACCTACTGTACATCGGAGCACCTTTTTTTTGTTTTATATACCTAGTACACAAGTATAGATTTCTAATTTGGTTGTAATAAGTGGCCCCTTGAAATTTCCTGACCCACAGTTTCCTAACTCTGGATCCGCCCCTGTGCTGAACCAGGATCTCTTGGAAAATTGTTTCAGCTACGTTAGAGGAATGGGTGCAGCCAATACTCATCCAACATCACTAGATTTCCGTTACAGGTAACTATAAGATACAAAGTAATATACTAAAATTAACAATATTAATTATTAATATAATACAATGAATAAAATATTACTTTTCATACACTTAAGGTTACGATGGTATATTCTGAGAAAGTATAGTTCAGTGGTTTTCTCAACAAACAGAAACACTGATGAAAGCTTGATGGAAGAATGCTTGTTGGATTCACCTGAGGTATTGGTTGGTAGCATAATGGAAAATGCTGAACTTTAAAAGGGTTCTGATCAATATGTAGTAGCAACTAATAATGAAATTAAATTATTAAATGAATTTGAACTTGACGTAAAAACAAATAATAATAATAACAATAGATAATTACCTACTTACATATTTTTAGCTAGGTTCTTCATAGAAATTTTTTATTTACTTAAATGACTGCTCAAAATGAATATATACTAGAATATATGTTTGAGGAAGACAGCTTAACATATCTTTTAGGGTATACAGCTCAAAAGTTCAAATCAAAATACCAGG